CTCACTGCCCCTCCCCATCACCCCTCACCTCTGTCCTTCATCCCTTCAAGGGGCCACTCTCACTGCCCTGCCCCATCACCCCACCTCTGTCCTTCATCCCTCCAAGGGGCCACCCTCACCAATGAACGCGTTGGGGATGGTGATCTTGAGCCACATGCGGTCACGGACCTCCAGGCCAGATTCAGGGGAGGCCATGGCTTTTACGATGGCAGCCATGTCACTGTGGATGGACAGGTGGAAGTCATCTAGGCCTAGGAAGGGAGGAGAGGCAGAAGAGTGAAGCAGAAGGGGCTTTGAGAGGAGGCAGACAGGAGTTTGCAGTCCAGCTCTACGACCTAATAATTATGGGACCAGTGCTGGGCCAGTCACTAACTTCTTGGACACTCAGTTTCCCTTCCGTAAAAATGGGGACTTTAGTATCTACTGCACAAGATGTCTGAAGAGAGAATTCAATAATGCCAATGAAGGTGCTGTGCACAGTAGATAATGTCTGTGTTGTGACGATGAAAAAGGCTTGCTTGCTTTACGCCACACACTGTGGTTGGGGCTTCACTGTCCCTCTCTCGTTAAACCTCACAGGAGCCTGGTAAAGTGCAAATCGCTAAGTCTGTTTTACAAGGGGAAACTGAGGCTCCCTGGGTGCCTGATGCAAGTTCAGAAGCCAGCACTGCTTAGTGAGGGTTGAGGTGACCACGGGGGGGGAAAACTGGACAATGAGGTGACCACTGGGGGGAACTGGACATTGGGGTGTCCACTGGGGGGAACTGGACACTGGGGTATCCAGTGGGAGGTAGCCAGAATGCGCTGAGTCCCCTCCCTGGACCCCTCCAATGCTCCAGCAAGAGTCTCTGTGTGGGCCGTCATCAGCGCCTCCCACCTGGCCCTGCCCACTGGGCCCAGGGACAGGGTGGACACTCACGTTCTGTGTCAGGGATGGAACTGGTGATGGAGGAGCTGGTGGAGGTGATGGTGCTCAGGGAGGGGCTCATGCCGTAGGCAGGGAATGTGCCGGTCATGGCCGCGGTGTGGGAGACCCAGGCTGCAGGGTCAATGGGCCGGATGGGTTCACCTACACAAAGGATGACGAGTCACAGGCTGCCCGCCTGCCCACGGTGGGCCCAGCAGGGTGGCTGTGGAGTTGAGAGCGGCAGAGAAGAAAGGAGAGACAAGGCTCACATGTGCCAGGCACCAACTCTAACTTTAGGGCCGAGCCCCCATCCACTTACTCCTGGGCAGTGTGAAGCAGCCACGTGGACTGGGGTCCCAGCACTTGGCTACGGTCAGGGTGATGGGCCTGAAAGCAAGGGTGAGGGCAGGATGTGTGGCGGCCAGCGCCGACAGGCAGAAGCCCCCCCCCCTCCCCAGCGGCCCACTCCGTCCATACCCGGGCTTGTGCACGATCTCACGCAGCACCCGGACTGCGTCGTCATTGCTCATGTTCTCAAAGTTGACCTCGTTTACCTGGCAAAGAGGCATGGAGGAGGGTGAGCAGCTGGGGAGCTGAGCCTGGTGGGTCAGGTGGGCTTCCCCTCAGCAAGGAGGAGCCTCTGAATGAGCAGGGTCCGGGGCGGGGGGGTGCCTCTTAGCAACACCCTGACTCAGCGTGGGCCATGGTACCTGTAACAGCATGTCTCCTGGCTCGATGCGTCCATCAGCGGCCACTGCCCCGCCCTTCATGATGGAGCCGATGTAGATGCCTCCGTCACCACGCTCATTGCTTTGACCCACAATGGAGATGCCCAAGAAGTTATACTTTTCTACAGAGAAAACAAGACCTTGAGAGGGAAGCAAGATTCCCACCCCAACTCCCAGCCCCTTGTTAGAAAAGGGGTAGGAAGGGACAAGAACGACATTCAGTAAATCTGTATTGGGCACTGTGTTCCACAGGCTCAAAAACATTTCCATTTAACCTTTGCTGGCTGGGAGGTAGGGACTGACTGTTAGTTCCATTTTACAGAGCAGACAACTGAGGTTCAGAGAATTAAAGTAGCTTTTCTCAGCCAGCAAGTGGCAAAGCCAGGATTCAGACTCAGGTTTAAATTCCAAAGCTAGGGCTCTTTCTATCACATCCAATTGTCTCGTGAGAGAGCGCCTAAAACAGAAATCAGAGTACAAGGACGCAAGCGCTGAAAGAGGAAAAGGAGGAGTGTGTGGTGTAACATACTCGGGAATCACTTCCTCCAGGAAGCCTTCCCTGATGTCATCTTCTGCTTCCACAGCTGTTTATCTGCCATAACACTGATCATGAGATACTGAAATGACCAGTTTGTTTTTTTAAGAGTGCTCCTTGAGGGCACAGGACATCGCTTGTGTCTCTCTGAAGCCCTCGAGTCTTCCCAGTACCTGGCACATAGTAGGTGTTCGAGAGTTGCTTCAGCAGACTCACCCATGTTGAGCGTGACCGTGATGATGTTGAGTGACATGGTGGAGTCCGTGATACTGCTGAAGGACGAGGACTAGAAGAGACAGAGGCCCTGAGCAGCAGGTGGGGGATGCAGGAACTCACTGCTCCCACCTAGCTCCACAAGGGGAGCCCTCAACACCTGCCCGCCAAGGTTCCAAACCCTGGGCCAAGGGCACGAGATCTCGGGGGGAACAAGGCCCTGCCTGGCCTGGGCTCATGGTCTGCTCCCACCCACCGCTAGCATCCCAGGCCCCATACCCGCTCGATCCGCGAGACCTTCTGCTTCCGCCGCCGTCGCTTGTGTCTTCTCATCAGGCGTGAGGCACTGCTCTGCTCCGTGGAGCTGCTGAACCTACGGGGCCCACAGTCGTTCCCCACCAGACTGGCCCGGCCCTGCCCCCGGGAGAGGCCCCGCCCCGGGAGAGGCCCCGCCCCGGGAGAGGCCCCGCCCCGGGAGAGGCCCCGCCCCGGGAGAGGCCCCGCCCCGGGAGAGGCACTGCCAAGCCCAGCTCCCCAACGCCACGCCCACATCCCTGCCGGGGGGGCCCAGCATCCTCGGGGCTCCTCAGCGGGTCCCCAGCCCCACAGTACCCATGAAACTAAAGCCCCACCTGCTGGTGGAGTCATCCTCGTCCGAGTCAAAGAAGCTGGTGGTCTCCAACTCGCTGCTCATGAGGGTGGACGAGCTGTCATAGCCCCCTGGCTCACGCCGCCGCTCCCCCTTTGAAGTTCCATTTATCCGGGCTGCTGCAGGGGTACAAGCAGCTGGGTTCACACAGTGCCCGATAGAGGGCGGAGGGGAGCAGGGGCAGGCCTGGAGCTGCAACGGGGCTAGGCGTATCCAGAACTAGGCAGCTGGGCAAAGAGGCGGTAGCTGAGCGGAAGCTGCGGGAGGTCGGGAGCTGGGGAAGACGCACTGTGCTCGGGGGCGTCCCTCCGGCGTGGCCGCTCCCGCTGGGCAGACACCAAGGAGTCCGTTTCTGTGTCGTTGTCCAGGTTCTCCTGGCTGCCCCCGCCAGCATGAGGGCTGCAGGGAAGAGAGGACTTCGTGGGGGAGGGGGCAGGCTGGGGGCTCCCTCCCCCAGCCCTGGGTGGAGCAGATGAGGCCCTCCCCTTTGGGTCCTCCCCACCGTCAGGTCACACTCACTGGAAGGATGGAGGCCGGGAGTCCCCAATGCCCCCTGTGCGCTCCATGGCTGGTGGCAGCTCTGAGGGGTTGTCAGCGCAGAAGGGGGCTGGCTCTGGGTGCGCGCCCTCAGCGGATACCAGCTGATGGGGAGAAAATGGGTGGACGGTATGTTACGGGGCAGAGCCCTCAGCGGATACCAGCTGATAGGGAGAAAATGGGTGGACGGTATGTTACGGGGCAGAGCCCTCAGCGGATACCAGCTGATAGGGAGAAAATGGGTGGACGGTATGTTACGGGGCAGAGCCCTCAGCGGATACCAGCTGACGGGGAGAAAATGGGTGGACGGTATGTTACGGGGCAGAGCCCTCAGTGCACACCAGCTGACGGGGAGAAAATGGGTGGATGGTATGTTACGGGGCAGTAGAGAGAAGGGGGTGAGTGGCTTGTGGCAGGGCATGATGGGATCACCTGGGGAGGACGGAGCAGGAAGCACTGAGGAAGAAGACAGAGCTAAGATGAGGAGCAGACCCCCTGCCTGGGTTGATGGGGTGCCGGGAGACATGGCTGGTGAGTGCGGATAGGGCAAAGAATAAGGGTCAGTGGTCCAGGGATCAGCAGGTGCTGGGGGAAACTGAGGCAAGGCCTTCCCAGGGCGTTTCTGTCCCCACGGTGGGTTTCTGTCTCTGCTTTCCCCTCCCACCTCTCCTCCCTTTTCACCAAGGCTATAGGATCGGGCGGGGAGAGGGGGGCAGCTCAGTTAGAAAACAAAAGAAAGGTTCTGATACGGAAGCACAAAACCACCCGGGGACCCGGCTACGGTGGCACAATCTCCCCCCACCCCCCACCCCCGTGCGCCCTAGGAACGCGGGCGGAGGCCCCTTACCCAGGACACCACGCGGCCGTTGAAGCAGGGTAGCTTGGCACTGTCATCAGAGATCTCCTCCTTCACCACTCTGTGGGGATGGGGGGCGGGGGTCAGAGTGAGCTTTCTGGGGTGGAAATGGAGGTGTCCTCACAATCCCAATTCTCATGGCCTCCTGCACTCCAAACCGGGGATTGAACCACCAGCACAAGTGTATTCAAATGGGAGCAGGGTGGGAGTGACCCTGGGACAGCATCACCAGGAAGACCCCCACCCTGCCCGGGCCAGCTGCCTTCCTGGGGTTCCTCTCAGCCATCAGGTGACTGCAAACTACCCCTGACAAACCGCTGTCCCCATGAGCGCACCCACTCCCTAGGATCTTGAGAGGGCTCTGCCCCTCCCCAACACGGCTCTCTGGGACTCCTTCCTCCGACCCCAAAGTGGGAAAAGCACAGTTAGGCAGGAATCCTGACATTCTTCTGAGAGGTGTGGAAGAGGGATTCAGGGAGTTAGGGAAGGGAAGGGGGAGAAGGCATTTGCTGGGCAACCTCCACGTGCCGTGATGATAAGGAATAGTAACAATTGTCTCATTTATTGACCATCCATTATGGGCCAAGCACTATGCTGAGGACCTTACTTGTATTATTTTCTTTAATATTCGCAACCAGTGCTGTAAGGTAGGTACAGCTGGGGAAACTAAGGCTCTGGAGGATAAGTAATTCATCTACAGACACACTGCTAGTAAGCGAAGAGCTGGAATTTGACTCCTGGTCAGCCTGACTCCAAAGCCTGTATTTTGACCTATTATACCATCTTCTCTCTTGAGTTACAACATATTATAATCTTCACATCGACTTCATGAGGTAGAAAATATGATCCTCGTTTTACAAATAAGAAGACAAATATTTAGAAACTTGTCTAAGGTCAGGGAACGAGATGTCAGAGCTGGAATTCTACCCCAGGCTCATCTGACTCCAGACCCATGCTCTTTACACTGTATTTCACATTCTTTCCTGGAAGATGACAGAGGCCACGTGGGTCTGTGTGGGGCATGGGGGTGCGGGGAGGGTCCCGTGGGGCATCGGGAGTGGGATGCAGTCGTGGGCCTGGAGTTTAACCTGGCGTACACAGTAAGGCAAGAAGTCAGACACAGACTATGGTTTGGGGCCAGGGGAGGGAATGGAAAAGTTTGAGGACTCCCAGAATATGTCAAATACCCCAGGAGTACAGAGCTGGGGAGACATGATCAGGGCAAGGGGTGATACATGCTTGGGGTTCTGAACAGAGAGCAGACAGCGAGGAAGGAGGCTGGGAAGCCGGTCCTCCCTCGTCCTTGGAGCAGCTTCTGCCCAGAGCTGGGAATGCGCTTGGCTCTTGTGATGCTCACATTCTTGGACTCGCAGCCAAGTTCACAGACCGAGCCTGCCCTCCTCCCTCCCACCCATCTCTGGCTCTCCACCATTTCCAACCTCACAGCAACCCCAAGAAAGCGGCCCAAATCCTCTTCCTGCTCAGGCCACCGCGGCAGCAAGTCTGGAGGCAAAACAGGCTGGGGGAAGAGACAGTGGCAGCTCAGGCCCACCAGCCAGTCTGGCCACAGGGTATCCCAAGCTTGCAGGCTGCTCATGGGAACCAGGGCTCAAAGAAAAAAAAAGGGATGTGTGGCCACATGACAGGGACTATGTGACCTGCTTTGGAAAGGCTCTCCCTGAGGTGGGCAATTGCTACTGAGTCCCCATCACCCCTTCCCCCACCTGGCCCCACCACACAGCACCATGCTACAGATGTTTCCTCTGTTTCTGGAGATCACCCACAGGTCGCCAAGGCTCTGCTGACTCACAGCCATCAGATCAGCTGGCAGCCTTGGGGGACCTCAAATAGGCCTCCTCCTTCCACGGGGAGCTGAATGGCTCAGGGTTCCATACCACTTACACACACAGACACACACGTACGCATGCACGCACGCACACACACCCCAAATGGAATCGGACAAATCTGGGTTCAAATTCCAATTCTTCCACTTATTAGTCCATCTTAGAGAAGTTACTTAACTTTTTGCACACAATAAGAACTAATTACTAACGTTCTCATTTTTTTGTGGGGTCCATGTTCTCTTTCTAACTCGATGCAAACTTTTAAGGGCAGGGACCACTTCTGCTCATCGTGCATTTATTCAATCAATCAAGAAACCTTTGCTGGAAGCCTAGAGGGTTTTAGGCCCTGTGCTTGCCCATTGTGTGGATCCCAAGAAGCATCCGACCTGCAGCCTGCCTTTTCCTCACAAGGCTGCAAACCAGTGGGTAAGCACATTGCGAGTGGGAAGGTGGAAAAGCCGTAACAGCAGAAGATTCGTTCACTGGACAGACATCTGCTGAGTGGTACTTAGGTGCCAGGTGTTGGCGAAGAGGTGGGTAGGAGTATAAGGATAAAACCAAAACCAAACCCACTGCTGTTGAGTCAATTCCGACTCATAGAAACACTATATGAAAAGAGCTGAACTGCACCATAGGGTTTCCGAGGCTGTACATCTTTACAGAATTAGACTGCCACGTCTTTCTCCCCCAGAGTGGCCGGTGGGTTCAAACTACCAACCTTACGCTTAGCAGCTTAACCACTGCACCACGAGGGCTCCTTAGTGTAAGGATAGATGGGATAAAGTATCATGATAATCCTCATGGAAAAGTTCAACCCGGAGGCCAGGAGAATCTGGACCTGGAGGGGATGAACGTCCAGAGGCAGGACAGTGTATGACGGGGAGGAGGCAGCGACACAGCTAGGGACCCAACTTCCCACGCTGCCTCCTCCCACAGCTTTGGGCCAGACTCCCAGTGGGCACCTGTCCTTCCATCTGCCATCTCCTCGGGGCTGAAAAAGTGTTTATCTTCCCTCCATTCCCCAAATAAGAAGGTTGGGCCTACCCTGAGCTTGACAAATACTTCCGGAGACCAGATGGGAGTTGGGGAGTCTTCCAGCCTCACAGAGTGGAGCCTCAGAGGGTGAACCTTGCCGACACGTGGAGAGACTGGAGAAGCAGCCCTCCTCCGCTGACTCGCTTTCCCATCGGTCATCAAGGGCCACTGGCCTCAGCCCCACTCTCCTCTCAGGAAGCTCAGGGAAGTGCCAGCCCTACTTCGTCTACAGCTTGTCAGGCCTTAACATCTCCCTTGGAGAGGATACACCTGTAAAATGGGGGTAGGAGTAACACCTACAGTTGTGTAGTTAAGGGCAAGACTTTGGAGCCAGATGCTTGACATTGAATCAAGCTCCGCTGCCACTTACTAGCAGTGTGACCTTGGACAAGTTGCTGAATTTTTCTGTGCCCTAGTCTCCTCGTCTGTAAAGGGGGGATACTATGAGGACCACATTAGGAGAGAAGGTTCAGAAAGCATTCAGATCAGTGCCTGGCACACCGGAGTCCTCTGTGAGAAGACAGTGCTACCACGTCTTTTGCTCGTTTAGCCTCCTGGGGGTAAAAGCTACATCAGTCTCCTCCACTTCGTTTTTAGCATTGTTCTCAGCCCTGCTAAAGTGATCTATTCTGATATTTTCAAAAGGGAGGTGTCAGTACCTCTAATGTATGCAAGATGGCTTTAAGTGGCACCTAAATGAACATTGCTTAGTTTAATAGTTACATATTTATTTTAGCAAAAAAATAAATAGAAAGGCAGACTCATGATTTTATATTATTGGTTGGATCAAGCTAAGAAAAAAAGCGAGCTGACGGATGGTGGAGTTAAATAAAAATATGAAGTAAACAGTAAGCGGATGGAATGAGGGTCCTTCTGTGACTGCAGTTAGGCCTGGCCAGAGAGTGCCTGAGAGACTGGAGGCAGCTCAGAGAGGTCTGGGCTTCGGAGCTGGGGCTGGGCCCAGTGGGCCCAGAGGTGAGTGCGGGGTGGGGACACAGGTCTATCCTAGCCCCTCAGAGCACCTGGCCAGGGTGGCCCAGCCTACTGGACTGCAACTATCTTCCCACATCTCCCATCCCCACATCTCCTATCCCAAGGAAGTATCTTGGTGTTTTCTGACCCTGCTCTTCTCCAACTAGGCCAGGCCATCCGCCCCCTTGCCCAGCCTCTTCCAGATCAATCACTGTTCAGAATCTTCCAGTCGGGGGCGTCTGCCTCTGGACCAAAGCCAGACAATCATCACGGCACCAGGAGGACCCTGCTCCAGGGTGGGAGCAACGACAACAGAAACAGGATAGTTAGACTTCACAAAGCACTTCCCACTGTCCCAAGCACTCTCTCTCTCTCTCTCTCACACACACACACACACACACACACACACACACACGTATGATCACACAAATACAATCTCACATACATGATCATACACACGATCACACACACACAAACATGTTCACACACACACACACACGATCACACAAATACAATCTCACATACATGATCATACACACGATCACACACACACAAACATGTTCACACACACAATCTCACACACACACACACACACATCTCATGGGCTCCTCAAACCCCAAGTGTCAGGGTGCAAAGTGGCAGCAAAGCACGCCAAGCAGACAACAGAAGGTGCTTGCTTTTTGGGGCCAGAAGGGTCGGGGCCCTGGGATAGAAGCCAGACAGATGGACAAGGAGAAGAATGTCTCCCCTCACTCAGCTCGGAACGGTTGTGCAGGCCTCAGGCAGGGGGCTGGAGGGGCTGCCTGCAGGCCTAAAGGACCCCGTGAGGCCTCCCCCAGGGGCCTCCAGGCCGGCACCCAGCTCCTGGACGCAGGCTGGTGTGGGGGCCTCCCCCTCCTCCAGCCCCCTGGGAGTTGGGAGTTGGGGGTGAGGAGATGGGCCAGGCTCCCCTTCCCAGGCCAGCTGCTACAGAACCTTCCGGCTCCAACATTCCATCCCTTCTTAAAGGGGAAGTGGCAGCTTCCAAACCCCGCCTGTCCAAAGCCGTGCAGCTGGGTGGAGGCAAGACCCCCGCCAGGGAGGGAAGATGGGGAATACCAGGGGCTCTTCCTGGCTCTGGGCTCCAAGGCCCTTCGCAAAGCCTCCCCGTCGGCCACCACCTGGAGGAAAAGGCCTCCATTCCGAGGGGAGACCTGGGCTAGTTTGGACTCCTCCTCGGGCGTCAGGCGCTCGGCCCACTCCCTTGACGACATCCCAGACACCCCACAAGGGAGGGGGCGACAGCTAAATAAACACCAGGTCTGCAGGCCCCAGCACACAGTCGCCTCCTCCCCCCAGCTCACAGCCCCGCCGCGTAGCCCGGAGAGGCGGGGTACTCCAAATAAGGCCCTGAGTCGTGCAGCTGAAAAGATGGAAAAGCGCTAGGCTGGGGGCCAGACACCCCAAGTCTACGCTGAAGAGGTGGCTCCCTTGGCGGGGCAGGGCTGGGACCTGCGGGGAGGGGGTGTGTGTGTCGTCTCTGTGGGCCGCCGAGGAGGTGAGGGGCTGGCGGGGCAGGCGCTGAATGCTCTTCGGGAGTTGGACGCCCCCTAAGCTGGGTGCCCCAAGGGGCCAAGATCCCCCACAAGTGGCGAACGGGCGGTCCCTCGCGGGGCTGGAACCCCAGCTCCCCACAAGAGCCAGGGGGGGCGCGAGCGGGCCGGGTGGCCCCCAGGACCAGGCGGCGGGGTCCGCGGGGCGGGCGGGGGCCCCCTCACCCGAAATCGTCGTCCATCGACTTGAAGAAGAACTTGTAGCTGGGTCGCTGCAGCACGCCCTTGAAGTCGGCCAGAGTGACGCGCTCGGCGGGCAGCGGCAGCTTCACCAGGTACGGCGTCTCCTGTCCGTCCAGGTGGTAGATGATCTTGGTCTCGCCCATGGCTCCGGCCTCCCGGGCGCCGGGCCGGGCCTCTGGGCACTCGGCGCGGCTCAGCCCAGCGCGGCG